TACCATATAATTATTTAACTAATAGCCAAGTAGAATATGATTGCCAACCTCTTTAACTTCTTTCTCTTTGTTACATAATTTAAAATACCAATTTAGTGTGTCTTTTTCATGCTTGCTCCTGTGCTTACACAAATGCATTTTATATATATATGTATATATATATATACATACATACCTAAATGTGTGTATACAGTTATAGTCATTGCGTTGTATGTGCTGTTAAGAATAGAAATGGGATCACATAACTTGCATTTTTCACTTAGACATTAATTAAGGGCCATCCTACCAAATTTTTGGTTAATCTTACTCTTTTTATGACTTCCGCATTACTTTGTGGTAATAATTTAAGTCCCCACTTTCCTTGTAGGGAATTTCAGGCTGTTTCTAATTTTATGCTAATAAAAATACGTTTTGCTGAAGATAAATTTCTTTGACATGTATCTTTCTGTATTTCTGTCAGATAAGGTCCATGGTATGCACATTTTTAAAAAAAATTTAAGTGCTTTATAGTTCTTTAAGATATTATTTATGCTTCTATCAATAGGACATTTCTGCTAAAATACTTAGTGTAATTAAAGCCTCTTGTTACATCTATGCCTTTTTTGCTAGATCGTTCAAGTTGATTACATTTACATTTTTATTTGGAAAAAAAATTTACCTCCAAATTAGCTTTATGTATAATATCTACTTAAGTTTTATCTTTATGCAGTTAATCTTAAATATCATTTCGAAAAATTAGACTCAGATATCTTCCCTTTCCCAGAACCAAACAAAAACCTCCAATAAATAATGAATTAATTTTTAGGATGGGCTTAGCGACTCCATTAAGTATGTAGGTATTGAAGAATTTCTTCAGTCTCTCCTTGGTAGTTTTGGACCGAAATGTTTGGACCTGAGCGGAGAACTCAGGGAGAGGTGGGAAATTCTAAACACTTAGAGGTGCATATGGTACAACCCACTTATTAGCAAAAATCTCTATCCTAATTCTCTCCTAGTGATTTCTGTGCAGTTTAATAAATTGATCTCATAAGAGAAAAACAACTGATGTGGACTTATGAACCAGGAAATACAATTTGTGACAATAATGTTCAGACTCTGTGTTCACATTTGAAGGACATTGTGGTTGATAATGATATTTGCTACAATTTGGTGAATAAACCAAATCTCATACCTCCCTGAAGGACAACTTGGTTAGATATTCAAAATCCTAAATAAACATTCTGGTACCATAATTATATTCTTAGGAATTTGCAAGATTGAAAACAGCCTAATAAAAAAATGGGAATAAAAGTTAAAATTATGAAAAACTACAGAATATTGAGCCAGTGAAAACTGTGTATAGAGAATATTTAATGACACAGGGAACTAGATGCCATAAATAAAAAGAAATGGTTTAAAATTGTGATTATGTTTCCCAGCACACTTCTTATGAGATATGAGATTCTTTATGGCCAGATTAACTTGAGATAGGCTTAGCTAATTAGAATTAAACGAGCCTGTGCCGCACAGGCTTTGTCTTAAGAGATTCATGGAACATAAGATGGGTTTGTAGTATTGCCCGCTTTCCTTTTGACCTTAAAACTTTTTCCCAGGAATGCCTATTACTATTTTTTTTTTTTCAGAACACTTGGAGTCCATAGAACATTATATGGGAAGTGCTATAGTTCAATCTCAGTTTTTGATTTTAAAAACATAGTATATGGAACATGGAATGTATATATTATATGAATTTATGTATGTGTTTATGGATGCACAGAATAAAAGGCTCTATAGACAATAGAACAAAAAGTTATCTCAGGGTGGTGAAAGGATGGTGATAAAACTACTCATAATTTTCCTTTTTTTTTAAACTCTGGTTTACGAAGTTGTTCATAATGTGGTTGTTACAGGCATCCAGGGTTCCAGCACCAACCCCACTAGCAGAGTGACCTTCCCTCCACTACTGTCCCCATTTGCCCAACACCCCTTCAAGCATGCCCCCCCTTTTTTTTTCTTTTTGGGTCACACCCGGTGATGCACAGGGGTTACTCTGGTTCGTGCACTCAGGAATTGCTCCTGGCGGTGCTCAGGGAACCATATGGGATGCTGGGAATCGAACCCGGGTCGGCCGCGTGCAAGGCAAACACCTTACCTGCTGTACTATCACTCCAGCCCCGAGCCTGCCCCCTTAGTAGGCACAAAATCACTTATTTTGTATTGCTGTTTGTTTGGTTTTTTTTTACAGGGAAATGACTAATAGGATTATCCAAAAATACCTCAGTGAAAGGAAATTTGTGAAAATTGTTTCATCTCTCCATGGGCTTATTAAGTCCTTGTCTGAGGATTCACTAAGGCGTTTGTTGCTAGTTGAGCCTTCCGCATTCTGTTTTTTTGTTAGGAGCTTAGTTGGCTTCTGTCTTACTTTCCCATCGAATTTGGTGTCTTCCTATCACAATGTCAGTAATGTCCGACTTTGAGGGGTTGCAGAGCACGTATGCAGCCACACACTCCCAAGTTCCGAGATCTCTAGAACTGGGCTGATGTAGAATGTGACAGATGGCTGTGAGATGTGGGTGTGGTCGCCGGGGCTGCTGGAAGTACCAGGAGGTAGGGGGTGCTACCAGCTTCCACTCCAAGAAGACCCCAGACTTCTCAGCCTGAAAACCAGTGTATCTAGAATTTGTGTCAGTTTGGTATTTCTGTAGAGATTAGTCATGGAGCAGTGGAGATGGGCCATTGGCATGGGAGCAGTATGGGGTGTGGGTGCAACTGCATGGGCTTGGGCAGCACGGGGACTCAACCCATCCCTGTCCCTAGGGTGGCTCAGAGTTTTTTAGTAGAGAAACTGGTGTACCTTCTGAGATTGAGTCTTGCGTTTGTTGAACTAGGCCGATGAGTTTACATGGCGGCAGCTGTGGGATGTGGGTCAAGTTACTGATAATTTTTTTTTTTTTTTTGCTTTTTGGGTCACACCCGGCGATGCACAGGGGTTACTCCTGGCTCATGCACTCAGGAACTGCTCCTGGCGGTGCGCGGGGGACCATATGGGATGCTGGGAATCGAACCTGTGTCGGCCATGTTGGCTGCGTGCAAGGCAAACGCCCTACCCGCTGTGCTATCGCTCCAGCCCCCACTGATAATTTCTGATGGTTGATTAATGCTATTATTTGATGCTGATTGATCATTTCTGATGGTGAACTAATGCTGATTACTGATAACTTTCTTTGTACTTAGTTGCAGTTTTCAAGTGTTCTGTAAAATTAAGTAGGCTTCTTCTTGAAGAAGCATTGAGAGTCGTTAAACTCAGAGTTGATACAAAGCACTGCTCATACTGTCATCGCCTCCTCGCAGTGGCGGGCCAGGTTCCATAGAAAAGAAAACTCAAGGAAGGGCGGATGGAGACTCTGGGAGGGCCTTGATGTGTCAGTAGCCTTTATGATGGTGATGGTTTCCTGGATGTGAACTTATCCCCATCTTCTTCAAGTTGTAAGCATTTAATACATACCACATTTTTTGTTCGTTTGGGGGCCATACCCAGCAATGGTCAGGGTTTGCTCCTGGCTCTGTAGTTGAGAAGTAAACGTGGCAGTGCTCAGGGAACTGTATGGGATGTTGGGGATCAAACTGGGTGTGTCATGTGCAAGGCATTGTCTCACCAGCTGTACTATCTCTCCAGCCCCATGTACTGTTTCTTAAATACCATTCATCCCTGAATCAAGTGGTTTCAAAAACTCAAACCTTAGAGGCAGATTTAAGTTCAGTCTTTAGCTTGTGATCTTGAACAAAGGATTTCATTCCGCCTTTGGCTTGCAAAGAATATTTTTGTTTTGTGTTTATCTTCTGACCATTCCCAGCAGTCCTCAGAGGTTGCTCCCAATGGTGCTTAGGCCACCATGGAGGGCCATGGGCTTCCTTCTTGCAAATCATGTTCTCCAGCCTTTTGACCTATCTCTCCAGCCTACTAAGGATATTATTACTCCCTCTCAAAGCCATTAGCAAAATCATATTAGGTACAAGTGGGTCTAACACTTACTGTAGACATGGAAAGATTGTTTTCATTAATTTTTTTCCTAATTATTGCATGAACAGGGAAATAGTCTTTCAAGTAAAGCTTATTGTGTGTTGGAATCAATGTTTTTGTGGTAGAAATCTACTTCTGAAATGATGGATGAAATGCCCTAGTTCTTTAACATTGTTTGGAGGAAAATGTTTTTTATTCTAGTTTAGATGACTCCTTTAAATTTTGAATCAAGTCCTTTTTTTAAATCTCTTGTCTATTTTTTTTTTAATTTTAATTTTATTTTTGCTTTTTGGGTCACACCTGGCGATGCTCAGGGGCTACTCCTGGCTCATGCACTCAGGAATTACTCCTGGCAATGCTCGGGGGACCATATGGGATGCTGAGAATCGAACCTGGGTCGGCCATGTTGGCTGCGTGCAAGGCAAACGCCCTACCCGCTGTGCTATTGCTCCAGCCCCATCTCTTGTCTATTTTTAAGCATCAAATAATTATCATGAAGATAGATTTTACTTGACCATATTCTGTCTCTGTAACTCAGACCCCTTCCTGTGATGTTTTTCCCAAAAATGATCCTTATGTTTAAAAAATACATATCGAAGGGGCCCAAGAGATAGTAGAGTGGGTGAGGTGCTTGCCTTGAACTTGACCTACCCAAGTTCAGCCCTGGCCACTGCATAGGGTCCTTCAGCACTGTCCTTGAGCACCCAGAAGTTAAGTCCTGACTACTGCCAGGTGTGGCCCAAAAGGAAAAAATAATAATAATAATAATATAAAGGGGGAAAAATCAACTGTTGAACAACAAAGTTTTGGAGAATCTAGTCCGTTTCTCCTGGGATTGTAAAATTTCTTCTTGGGAGTCTTATATAATGCATTAGCACTTAAATGTTACGATCTGGGTGCTGTGATGGTAAACTTTACTGTGGAAGTATGTCTCACACTCTTTTTTTCTTCTCTCTTTTTTTTTTTTTTTTGTAATGGCTTTGCCTTCTCTGTCATTTAGCAACTCTATAGAAAGAAACCTGGTTTGGCCATCACATGTGCAAAACTGCCTCAAAATTTGGACAGAAATCGATATAAAGATGTGCTGCCTTGTGAGTATTTGGTGTGACCGCCTCTCTGCCCCCTGCTCCCCCACGAACACCTCCCCCTACACACACACACACACACACACACACACACACACACACACACACACACGCTGAGATGTCTCCCTTTTTTAAAACAGATTGTGTGGAATTCTGGAACCGTTTTCAGTGTGTCTGTAAACACCATCGTCTTTATTGCAGCCATTTCAGACCGAACAGTTGGGGAATAGCGTTTATGCTAATGAGGCTGGAGCCGCAGATGGGGCTGGGAACGCTACTCTTGTTTACTTGCTACGATAAAAATAACGCTGGGAATAATCGGTAAACTTTCCTCTCCCCCACAGATGACACCACCCGGGTATTGCTGCAGGGGAACGAAGACTATATCAATGCAAGCTACGTGAACGTAAGTGGAGGCGTCTGCATCCCCAGAAAGCGCATTCATCACTGTAAGGAGCCCTGACAGCAGCAGCGGGAGGACTCAGTGGCAGACTCTGGGCGCTCTGCTCCGCTCCCTCTGCACTCATCACAGCCCTCGTCCAGGGCAAGCGCACTGTTCTCCTTTACAAGGAAGCCTTGCCTTACTTGAGTGCAGGGAGATTGATTGCGTAGTTTAGGAAGTCTTCGGGAAGTTAAGCGAAGGGGAGGCTGAAACCTATTCTGACTCCAGCCCTTGGCTGCTCACGCATCGGTGCTTGGCTTTGGCCAGGGATATGTGTGGGACTTTGTCCCCACACCCCACTCCCCCCATGTTGATAATGCGCATCACCCCCCGGAGTCAAATAAAACCCCTCTGCACATAGAACCCTACAAGCAAAAGGGAAAGATCGCACGCACTGTGGGGAGAATACGCCTGTCTTTCTTACTCTGAGAAATGCAATTCGGGCAGCTCCTGGGCGTCTCTGAACCTCAGTTTCTTCTTTCATGTCAGACAGAGGTCGGCACTTTTTCTAAACAGGGCCAGAGGATAGACGTTTGGGTTTTTGCAAGCCAAAAGGCAAAATTAGGCATATTACTTACTCTCGAGTACTTAAATAATTAATTATGTAAAGAGCAAATTGTGGAAAAGTAAGAAATCACTCTTGGCTTACTGGATGGATTCACCAGCAAATGGATTTGTCTGGCAGTCCTTGATCAAAGGTTTCTCAGGTTAACTTCTCAAACTGTAGCAAAATACCAAGAACTACTCTAATACACGGATATGAGTCCTATGTCCCCTGGTCTGTGGGACTCACTGACCCCTCTATTAGTATTCCTGCTGTCTCGAAAGCAGTGGTGACATATGGACAGCAAGAAAAGTTCAGTCTTTCTCAGGAACCGGGAGAGTTAAGACCAGGGTTGAGGCGCCAGAGTGATGGTACGGTGGGTAGGTGTTTGCCTTGGTGCACGTGGCCAACCCAGGTTTGATCCTCAGCATCCCATATGATCCCCAAATCCCTATCAGGAGTGATCCCTGAGCTCAGAGCCAGGACTTAAATCCTGAGCACCAAAAAAAAAAGAAAGAAAATAAAACAAAAAATAGCAGTAACATAAAGCTAGGGTTGAACAAGTCCTTCACCTAAGCATCAAGCAAGCCATGAGTTTGACTCTTTTTTTTTTTTTTTTCACTGTCACTGTGTGCTCAAGTGGGCCCAGTAACATTGTGAGATTCGTTACTGTGTTTGGGCATATTGAATATGTCACGGGGAGCTTGCCAGACTTTGCCGTGTGAGCGACATGCTCTCGGTAGCTTGCCGGGTTCTTCGAGAGGGCTGGAAGAATCAAACTCAGGTCTGCTGTGTCGGCCACGTACTAAGGCAAACGCCCTAGTTTTATTGGATCACTGTGAAATACAGTTACAAACTTGCATGATTATGTTTCAGTCAAACAGTGCTCCCTCCACGAGTGCACATTTTCCACCACCATTTATTCCCAGCGTGCCACCCGCTACACCCACCCCACCCAACTCCCTGCCTTTATGGCAGGTACAATCCTTCTTATTCTCTCTCTAATTTGGGGCATTATGATTTGCAATACAGATACTCAGAGGCCACCATGTTTGTTCCCTGGTCTACTTTCAGCACACATCTCCCATCCCAGGCAGTCCCTCCAATTATCATTTACCTCTTGGTTCCTTCTCCATCCCAACTGCCTTTTCTTCCAGCACGTGAGGCTGGCTTCCTAACCATGGCATGATCCTCCTGGCCCTTATCTCTACTGAGTTTGACCCTCTCTTTCCCTTCCCCTCCTGAGAATGGATGGATCATAGAATCACTCACCAGCCCAGCAGGCCCCAAGCGTTGTTTCCTGTCAAGGGCTGGGGGGCAGGGGGGAGGGGAGGGAGGAGAGCAAAGGGAAGAGGCACACGAGGGAGAGCTGAAAACATGCTCACCCCGGAGATTGTTCAGCTCAACCGTCGGAGACCGGAAGCCATACAATGCTCATGCCCAAGGCTCTCAGTCGATATCTGGGGAGAGGAGGACAAACTCCCAAACAACCCTCTGGAAGTTCTGAACCAACGCTGGGAGATGCTTTACCAGCTGGAACCAGGGTGCAATGCTCAGGCCTGGCAGTACCAGGGTACTTGAGCCCAGCAGTACCTGGGTCCAACCAGGGCCACCCTGGTGGTGGTTTCAGGGGCCTCTGGGGCTACACCCCACAATGCTGGGGTTGGCAGAACTGGCGGCGTGAGACATACACTCTCCTGAGCTATCTCCCCGCACCCTGAGGCAGGGCTTTTAGAAACCAAAGTATTTCGTTTTTCATTTGGGGTCTACTCCAGGTGGTACTCGGGACTCCTGACTCTGTGCCCAAGGATCACTCCTGGCATATGGCTCAGCGGGACTATATAGGGTGCCAGGGGGAGAACTCGGGTTGGCCGTGTGCACAGCAAGCCTCTTACCTGCTGCACTGTTACTCCGCACCCCCCTCACTGATTGTTCTTAGTTGCTCTCCAGCAGTCACTCTCTCAGGTGCCTTGTCGCTCTCCCGCCAGATGGAAGTCCCTGCCGCTCACCTCGTGAACAGATACATCGCCGCTCAGGGACCCCTGCCTCACACCTCTGCTCAGTTCTGGCAAGTCGTCTGGGATCAGAAGTTGTCCCTGATCATCATGTTGACAACGCTCACGGAGCGAGGGCGGGTACGTGGCCCCATTCCCAGTTTGGTCATGGGCAGTGACGTATGCAGTGCCCTGGTGTGGCGGGGTCTGCGGGTGTCGCCTCTCCAGCTCCGTGCTGTCCTGTGAAACCTCCAGGGAGGAAACTTGGCACCCCTCCAGCCCACCCTTCCCCTTTCTGAAAGCTGGCAGGGGGACAGAAGGCATCATCCCCCCCGCCCCCCACCCCTAGGATCCATAATCACAGTTCCAGAAACAAATGCCCCTTGACCTCACCGCCCCCCGCCCCCCAGCAGATGCTGGCCCCAAGGTGGGTGGTGTTAGGTGCTGGGGGCCCAGCTCAGAGGAGCAGTGATTGCCCCGTCCCTCCCCCTCCCCTTTGATTATGGCAGACTGCAGAGAGGGGAGAAAGGGCGGCCGGTGGGCGAGCAGTGGACAGCACACCGTGCCAAGCAGGAAGCGTGCGTTCTGCCCAGTGATCCAGATCACATCGTCTCCCTCAGTGTGCAAGGCTTCGCCGCACGCTGAGCTGCCTCCCGTCTGCCTTCCGCTGGAGATCCGCCTTGTGAAATCTTGACTCAGAAATTCATGGCTAGAGCACATCTAAGGATTCCTTTTGAATCAGCTACTTAAATGCTGTGGGTGCCACTGCCCCCTGCAGCTTCTGCTTAGGGGAGAGGTCAGAAGGCCAGGAGGGCCTTCCTGGGTGTGGAGAGGCGCAGGGCTAGAAGGGACAGATCATTTGGGGCTCAGTGTCCCGTTCCTCCCCTCCCCCACCTGGTCCGGGGGCAGCACTGCCAGAACTGCCCACTCCTCCTGGGCGTGACCTCACCAGCCTTCCCTACAGAGACTGCTGCAGTGTTCCCTCCGGGGTGGCTTTGAGACCCAAGATGAAGTAAGATGCAGGAAAAGTGCCATCTGGCACTTAGCGTAATACTAGGCCTCACCACTCCCCACAGAAACCGGGGCTCCAAAAACTCAGGCGAGAGGCCAGAGCCCTAATATAGCAGGCAGGGCACTCACTTGTCTTGCCTGCAGCCAACCCGGGTTCGATCCCCAGCATCCCAGGTTGTCCTCCCAAGCACTTCCAGGAGTGATCCCTGAGCTCAGAGCCAGGAGGAAGCGCTGAGCACTGCCAGGTAGGGCCCAACAACCCCACACCCCAAATAATAATACTAGTCTGCAGAAGAACGGTTAGAAGTAGGTAGATACTGCAGTTTAAGTGAAGGTGGGATTTGCCACAAACAGAAATACTCATGGTTAAGGTTGGCATGTCAGCTCTTAACTGCAGGAAGCAGAGTAGTGGTTCAAAGGGCTGGAGCGTACGTTTCCCGTACAGAGGCACCGGATTCAACGTCCAGCTCCACTGCGGTGACCCCAGTACTGCTTGGGAGAAACCCGTCCCCCACAATACACACACACACACACACACACACACACACACACACACACACACACACACATTTTACTCCTGCTTTCTAGCAGTGTATTTCAATTTCAGTTATTAACATTCACATTTGAAAATAAGAATAGAAAAGCTGACTCCAGACAAACCACGGTCATCTTTTTAGCTTTAAACAAATACGATTTCCCGTTGAGTTGATGCCACGAGGGGAAAAGTGTTCATGACTGAGAATCCAGCACCGCTGTGGAGGGCTGGACATCTTGGTCTTGGATCTTGCTTCAAAGCAAGAGACAGATGTGAGGATGGGTGTGGAAGTGACTCAGGGTACTGGAGGGGGTGGGCAGGGCTGTGGGATCAGCCAGTCTGCGGGGATGTCTCCAAGACCCTCAACTCAGTAGTCCAGCTACCTCGGTGAAGTGGCTTCATGCCACCGGGCAGCTCGTCCGCCCTTGAGGAAGAGGGTCGGCTCCGAGGCACGGGGACATGTCTCATGGAATTGCCGGGCCTCTCTGATCACCCTCAGTCACACTGGTGTGGGACCCCCAGCTTCGAGGGGGACACTGCTCCCGCCTCTTGTGCCACCACAGCGCCCCACGCCTGTACACCACCATCTCCATCTCGGCCCCCCATCCTGGAAGTAGGCCCTGCTTTCATCCTCCCGTCTCAGACCTTGCTGGTCAGAGGTTGCGTAGCAGGGTTGGGCTTCTCTGGTACTGACTCCCGTATACTCGTCCCACCATGCCTGCAGGCCGTTTGAGGTGGGGCATTGAGGAGGGGACGCAGGAAGAAACGGAATGCAGAGAGCAGAGCCGCGCGGAGCTAGGGGAAGGTGGGCAGCAGTGGGGTCCCTTCCAAGGCCTCTGCTGATCTGTCTTCAGACTCCAACCCTGGCCCGGGCAGTACCCACCCCACTCCCTCCAAGACGGCAGGTGCCGCTGCCTCCCCCCGGGGGACGAGAGGCAGAGCCCATCTGCCTGGCCTGGGTGCCGCCACTCCCCACAGCCCTCTCTGCGGGACCCAGAGCACAAGCAGAAGCATGTGACCTACACCCAGCTGTCTCCACGGGTGGCCGTGCATCAGTGGTGGCCACCAACACGTGCTTCCCTTCCAGACCAAGTGTCACCAGTACTGGCCCAACCCCCCCGACGTCCTGCAGCAGGGGAGCTTTCAAATCCGCTGCCAGTCCGAGGACTGCACCATCGCCTGTGTGTTCCGAGAAATGCTGGTCACCAACACGGAGGTGAGGGTGTGCCCGCGAGGGTGAGTGAGTGGCTTCCAGCGGGGCACAGTTCAAAGGCAAGTGCTGGGGCCAGGCACAGCTCACCTGGTCACACACGTCCCCAGCCTCTCCCCAGCTATTACGCTGGTGGCTCCTGAGTGGCTGAGCAGTGTCGCTTTACCCTCCGCCCGCCCCTCCCCCGCACCGGCCACTGCACCCTCAAGCCCACAGTGCTACGCAGGGCACCCTCAGGAGTAGCCCAGGCATCCGAGCAGAAATTGGCAGATAGGCCAAAACAGGCAAAGGATGGGTGCACGTCCCCTGTGGTCATAGCGAGGTGCCGAGGAGGTCATGTGCTGTGTTTCTGACCTGCTCTGTGCCTTGCTGGGGGGCCGTTTTAGGCAGTGTCCACAACTGAGTCTCTCTTGAGTGCCCACGGGCTTCTCCCCTGCCAGGAGAGACTCTCTCGCTGCCTCGGTGAGAGCAGCCCCTGCGTTCACTGACCCGGGACCCGAGAGACAGTCTGTCCGGGCAGTGGAGCGTTGCTCAGCCTGACACACAGCGGAGTGGAAACGCCCCTGGGTTCCCTTGGACGAAGAACCTGGAATATGCCCTGTTGGCCCGCGTGCCCGCGGGAGAGCAGCAGGTGGTGGGCGTAGGGGAGAGCCGGTGTGGACGGCATGCTCGGGCCAGGCAGGGGATGCTCAGGGCTGGCGTGTAGCATGCTTGCCCGTGCGGGAGCCCCAGCGTCACCCCCCAGCCCCGCGCCGGGCACAGCCCTCCCTCCTGCCACAGAGGAAGCAGAGTTGTAGGTTGGGAAGTGAAACGGGTTGTTCAGAAAAGAGCGATGGTGGCTACCGATCTGCACATTTGGTGTCACGTACGCTTTGCCCGTTAAAGCTAGTAACACGGGGCTGGAGTGATAGCATAGCGGGTAGGGCATTTGCCTTGCACATGGCCGACCTGTGTTCGATTCCCAGCATCCCATAGGGTCCCCGAGCACCTCCAAGAGTGATTCCTGAGTGCATGGGCCAGTAGTAACCCCTATCCATCGCCGGGTGTGACACCCAAAAAGAAAAAAAAAATAAAGCGAGTAATACCCCTCTGGGCAGGCAGATGCAGTCGGAGAGAGCAGGAGGACATGGGTAGGGGTAGAGGCGGCAGAGGCAGCCCGAGCTGGGCCCTGGAGGATGGGGGACATGGGGGCGCTGAGGAGGCGGGGAGGTGGCAGCTGAGGAGGGCCCTATGGCGGGCCCAGAGCGTGTCTGCGTGTCCACAGAGGACAGAAGCACCTCGGCACCCAGCACCCGCCGGCCAGCAGAGTCCCACCCACCACTGAGGCTCACTCCCGTGCCCCCTGTTTGCCCCCCCACACCCCCCAGACTGGAGAGGAGCGCAAGGTGATACACCTCCAGTACGTGGCCTGGCCTGACCACGGCGTGCCCGACGACTCCTCCGACTTCCTGGAATTTGTCAGAAGCATGCGGACCCTGAGAGTGGACAGTGAACCCATCCTCGTTCACTGCAGGTACCACTGCTTGGACTTCATCTTGGTTGCCCCCTGTGCTTGGCGGGGTGAGGTCGGGAGCAGGTGGGCAGGCAGGCAGGCATCAGCCCACTCTGAGCTCCGCAAGGCTCTCGGCCCTCGTGGCAAAGTCATGTGCCTTTTCCTCACTACATCAGAAGAGTCAGAAATCTACAGGCCGTGAACTTGTGACCATGGCTGGGGACTGAGAAGGAAGCGCCCCTCTCCCTCTTCCCCTCGTCCCCATCCCTGACCTTAGCGGGAGCTGTGGAAAGGGATGGCATGGCGGGAAGGTAGCCCCGAAGGCTGGGCTGCTTCCCACGGGCTGCCCCAGCTCTGGCTGTGGGTTGGAGAATCTCTGCCATGGGTTTGAGGACCTGCACGCATGTCTGTGCGTGTCTGTCCATGCATCTGTGTGCATGACCCATTGAGTGTGGGCATGGGGAGGGGAGGGCCGGGCAGGAATGTCACTTGCGCTCACCCCGCAACTGTGCTCCCTCTCTCCTCCAGTGCTGGAATTGGGCGGACAGGCGTGCTGGTGACCATGGAGACAGCCATGTGCCTCATCGAGAGGAACCTGCCCGTGTACCCGCTGGACATCGTCCGGAGGATGCGAGACCAGCGCGCGATGATGGTGCAGACATCAGTGAGTCAAACCAGGACGGGCCGGTACCCTGTGACCTGGTGCCCCAGGAGAGGGGGATGCTGAGGGGCACCTACCTGGCCACTAGCCCCAAGTCACAGAACTTGTCAGGAGTGAGCAGAGAAAACTGAAAGACACCCTTAAATTGTTATTTTTCCTCCCCATAGATATTTTTTTTTCTTGGGTCATACCCGGCGATGCTCAGAGGTTACTTCTGGCTCTGTGCTCGGGAATGACTCCTGGCGGTGCTCAGTGGACCATATGGGATGCTGGGGATCGAACCTGGGCCAGCCAGTGCAAGGCAAACGCCCTACCTGCTGTGCTATCGCTCGGGCCCAGATCTTAACACTCATATGCAACCGATTCTCATTTTTAGAACAAACATCACAATTCCGTTCCCTCCTGCCCACGGAAGCTGAGCCTACCCCCCTCAGCAGCACCACCCCTACACCCCCCATTGTTCGGGTGTTTGGACCAGCCCCTCCAACCCCTGAACCTCAGCTCTGCTCTCCTCAGAATAGGGCCCCACCGTTGGTGTGTGCAGGAGCACGAGCACCCACAGAGACCCCCACCTCTCCCTGACGCCCACCCCCGAAGGCTGGGTTTCCACGACACTTTGCACACCCTTTCCTTTTAGCAGTGTGTGGGAGTCGGGGGGGCTGGCGGGGGGGCTGGCAGGTCCCCACTCCTTTCTACCAGCATATGGCACCAGATCTCCCCTGCCCCAAGGGGGTTGGTGTGTGCGGACATCAAGAGCTCGTCTCCTTAGGATGGGGTCAGCATTGTGGTACCATCGGGTTCACCTGACCTCTTTTTTTTTTTTTTCGCTTTTTGGGTCACACCTGGCACATGCCTAGGAGTTATTCCTGGCGGTGCTCAGGGGACCCTACGGGATGCTGGGAATCGAACCTGGGCCGGCCACATGCAAGGCAAACGCCCTCCCCGCTGTACTGTCTCTCCAGCCCCTCACCTGACCTCTAGCTCTTCTTTTCCAGAGCCAGTACAAGTTCGTGTGCGAGGCGATCCTTCGTGTTTACGAGGAAGGCTCAGTCCAGGTGCTGGATCCCAGTTAAGGCAGCCGGGAGGGCCGCCGTTCCTCCTTCCCGGGGGCGTCGCTCCCCAGGACAGACCTTCTCTCTGGAAGCAGCGCGGGGCCTGGACAGGAAGCCGCGGGAAAGGACTGAGAGCGTGTGCGCTCAGGCACTTTAACTCTCCCCGGAGAGGCATCGTGTACATAGGAACCGTGTAGATAGCGCATGCCGTGACGGTCTCCTTTAGGTCTGCTGCTCCGGCGGGGATCTCAGCCTGGGGACCATGCAAACCCCTCGCTCCCTAGATGTTCCCGTATCCCTCCAGACCCACCCCGGGCGGGTGAGGGGCACACCGGCAGTGTCGCTGGCCTTCTGGAGACGTGGCGGAGTGGCCGCTGAGGGTTGTTGCTGGGATGTGCTGTGAGGAGAGCACCCGAGGCCGACCTCTCTGTGCTCCTGTGTGGAGTTGGCACAATTCGCACCTGCCCCCCACCCCCAATGCTAAGGGAACCCCAAAGAATGTACTAGAAGGCGAGGTGGCGGGCCGGCCGGCCGAAGGGCCAGTCTCCCCTTCCTTGGCCTCATCCCCTTGCCACTTCCCATATTTGTGTTTCTGGGGATCTTGTCCCAAATACTGGTGTGTCCCGAGCCCACGTTAGCGACCCCCTTCAGGGCTGGGCTTGAACCTGAACCCGAGTCGGAGTGTGGGTCTGGGCGGGCCTTGCCAGGAACTGAACAGGGGCCCGCAGGGGCGACCTGTGCGTCCCTCTCCAGAGCAAGTTCCTTTGCCCTCTGCGCCCCCCCTGACTGAACGCCCAAACCTGGGATTGGAATCACCCACTACTGAGTCTACTACATGTTATTGCTGCTACTTCAAGCTCTTACACTTGAAACATTTTGATTTTTTTTTTCCTGAGGGGGAGATGGGATATCATCTAAATATTCTGACTCTTTGACCCTTCCTAGGAGAAATCTACTCTAGTGGTTGAACTACGGGAAACCCAGCTTCTCGAGGGTTTTCCACGCGTGCGTGTGTGCGTGTATGTGTGTGTGTGTGTGTGAGGGTGGGTGGGTGAATGCACGCATGTGTGTACAGGCTGGCGTGGGGTGTGCATGTGTGTGTGTGTGTGTGTGTGTGTGTGCGTGCACGCGCACCCATGACTGAGTGTTTCTCAGGATTCCTAACTCGATTCAAATTACAGCTAGAGTTTATATAAAGAATGAGTCTCTGTAAAGGAGAACAAATGTGTGTTTTTGTGCATTCACCCCCAGTTACAATGGTCTCCATTTCATTTCAAAGGAGAGGATCAGGCTGTCTGAATAGAAACACATTTGAGGTTAATTTATTCTAAGTACATCATGACTTCGATTGTCCTAAAGAATTCTGCCTTTGTCAATACTGTGTTAATTTTTTTTTTAATTTGTGACAGGATTGTAGCAAATTACTATTTAAGAAAAATAAACGAGATAAAAATCTTAAACATGGCATTTTTAAGTCGTTTGCGTGTGTTCAGAAGAGGACGGGAGCTAAGCCAGTTTCTTTCCAGGAGTCACTAGAAAAAGGATGTTTCATGCGCTGCTGCCCGTGCATGTAGCCTCTTTGACTGTTAACGGATGCTGGGCCAAAATCGCGTCATTTCCCAGTTGCGAGAGGAATCAAGATTTCCATGGTGGGGCCGGGTTTCTCGAGGTTCCTCATCTCCAGCCCTAGTATATTCACTTGTAACTCCCATCTTCTCCCCACTTCTGGGCTGGAGCAATAGCACAGCAGGTAGGGCATTTGCTTTGCACACGGCCGACCGGGGTTTGATTCCCAGCATCCCGTATGGTCCCCCCCAGTACCGCCGGGCATAATTCCTGAGTGCAGAGCCAGGAGTAACCCCTGTGCATCGCTGAGTCTGACCCAAAAAGAAAAAAAGAGCCATCTTCCCACTCTTCTTTCCCTACTAAGTGTAGAAAGTGGGAGCAGGAGTAGTGCCAGGACCCAGTACCGGACCAGACCCTTGGGCCCTTCCCTTGACAGCATTAGGCCAGATGAGCTCAGGGAAGGTAGCAGGGAGGTTTGGAGCTAGGAGGTAGATTTTCTCCTGATCCACTCAACAATTGCTAGCTCCGGGCCCTCTCCCAGAAGATCTCCAGCTCTGTCTCCTTTCTCCTAACGGAGAAAAGACAACGGAGCTTGAGCCCTTAAGGTTGAATATGAAGTTTGGAAAACTTCATTGTGCTGTTAATGTCTCATCAGCTGGAATCTTAACTGACACAGCTTTGGATGAGTGTCCTGGAAAATGAACAAACCCGCGATGAGCTCAAAAGCCATGAGAGAGAAGTTTAATTGTCTGTATTTGAATAAGAGAAAAGCACTTTTCTTCTCGGAAGAACCAAGAGCACAAAGGAATATCATATCAGTGCTTCTATTCAGGCCAGATTCAGGAAATTCCATCTGCAAAGTACAAAAGGGGGAGGTGACACTCTGAATTGCCACCAGGGTGGGTGGGGAATAATTGCCACTGATAAAAATTTAAAAACTAAAAAAATTTAAAAATTATTAAAAAGTATCACTGCCTTGTGTGCATCATTCTTTTTCTTTTTTTTTTTTCCTTTTTGGGACACACCCAGCAATGCTCAGGGGTTACTCCTGGCTTTGTACTCAGGAATTACTCCTGGCAGTGCTCAGGGGACTATATGGGATGCTGGGGATCGAACCAGGGTCGGCCACGTGCAAGGCAAATGCCCTACCCGCTGTGCTGTCGTTCCGGCCCCATGTGTGCACCATTTTTGACTGGGTTTTTTTGTTTTGTTTTTTGGCTTTTTTGGTCATACCCAGTGATGCTCAGGGGTTACTCCTGGCGGTGCTCGGGGGACCATATGGGATGCCAGGGATTGATCTTTGGTCAGCTGCCTGCAAAGCAAATGCCCTTCCACTGCAGTGTGCTATCACTCCAGTTCCACGCACCACACAAGAAGTCTACATAGAGTTTGGAAATATCTGTGTTTGTGTTTAAAAAGCTAATTGTTTGCTAAAGTTGCAGAAATTTTCCTTGACTCTTGTACATTTCTGAGGAGCTTGCCAAAGGTGGCTGCCAGTCCTTGCTGCTGTACATGCGGACAGTTCAAACCTAGGTGTTACTCAGAACTAAGCCCAAGAAGTGCTGGGAGGAAGGAGAATTCCCTAAAGGAGCAAATACACAAGTGTCTAAGGCAGCTATTGCTGCTTCCGTTCTGTAACTCAAGATTCCTGCTTCGTCACTTTCTAAACTTAAGCAATTGCATTCAGAAAGCCTTTTTTAGTCTTAAGAGAAGAACTTCATCAAAATCAGGATAAATATTTTGCCTGGGAGATTTGGGCGTGAATGGAGAAGACATTTACATCCTACGTTCTAGCGCTTTCCGGGTGATCTAATTAGACACGTTAATGTGCCTACTTAATCAAGACGGGAGAGCCCTCTTCCTGTCTCAAAGTGGAACCTGAGCTTGCTGTTTTGACTTCCCAGGGAGTGGGGTGGGGGCGGGGAGTGGCAGGGCAATGGAGGGGTTCAACTCACCGGGGTCTGGCGGGCTTGGATCGTAACCAGCCTGGAGTTCAGTGCCTAATGAAGTCGTTTGTTTCCTGGAACCTGGAGAGCCATGGCTGCCTGGTGCTGCTTGGCTGTTTGCTACCTCGTTGGAGGGTACGAAACAGGCCTCAGCCTTCGGGGGTAACGTAGAAGTAGCATCAGTAGGCAAAGACTGAGAGGCAGGACTTGGATCTAGCGGTTGATTTAGATGAGATGTCACCCTTGTCCCTCAGTTCACTTCTCTCTCAAAGGAAGAGAGTTGGGTTGGATTCCATGAGCTCTTGGGTTCTCACAACTTGTGTAGGTGGTAGGAGCCTGTCCCAGAGGTTCATGATGAGCCCTCCACCAGAGATGCAGAGCTACAACTGGAAAGAGATCCCGGTCTGTGATTCCCCCCAGATGTTGGTACTGTGAAGGCCAAAGCAAAGACATCCTCGACCTCCCAGTTCTTGCCCTGAATCCAAAGCTGAGAAGATGACGAAGGTGGACACTCCCAGTGACCCTCAGAAGACCCGAACAGGAGCTGGGTGGCTGGGCTGCTGCCTTCTTTATAACTCCCACTCTCTTTGGAGCCATCTAAAAGCTGTATAGATACAACCTCCAAAAGTTGTTGCATATCTTGAAGTATATATGAACCTTTTGAATAATAATAGACTAATAGTACAAACTTAACATTTTCTCTCTATATATACATATACATTATATGTATGTATGTATTATGTGTGTGTATATATATATATGTATATATATGTATCACAAATCAAATCATCCTGTTAATCATCGATTGCCTCGAGCAGGCCCCAGTAACGTCTCCTTCATCCTAACCCTGAGATTATATTCAAGGCTCTTTAGGAGAATGAGACCCATCATTGTTACTGGTATTTGGCATATTGGGTACGCCACGGGGAGTTTGCCAGTCTCTGCCATGTGGGCAGGCTACATTCGATAGCCTGCCAGTTTGTCTAAGTAGGAATGAGATAATCACAAATCACAATCACAAATCGTCCTGTTAGTCTTCGATTGCCTCGAGCAGGCCCCAGTAACGTCTCCTTCATCCTAGCCCTGAGATTATATTCAAGGCTCTTTAGGAGAATGAGACCCATCATTGTTACTGGTATTTGGCATATTGGGTATGCCACAGGGAGTTTGCCAGACTCTCTATATATACAGAGAGAGAGAGAGAGAGAGAGAGAGAGAGAGAGCCATATCTGGTGATGCTCAGGGGTTACTCCTGGCTCTGCACTCAGGAATTACTCCTGGTCTGGTGCTGCTCAGGGAACCATAGGGGATGCCAGGGACCAATCCGGTGTCGACTGCGTGCAAGTCAAGCACCCTTCCCACTGTCCTATCCTGTACTATCTTTCTAGCCCTTAACCTCTTTTCGAGAACCCACAGAACCCAACTCATTCCCCACCTCTATACAGGTCAGTCTGTATCTGTGGCCACCCTCATATCCGTTGCTGATGAACCCTTCAACTTCTGGACTCCTCTACATTCTAGAAGGCTCCAGAATTCTCCCCCAATGCTGCCCCCAGGTTTCCAACATCACTGTCTACTGCAAAGGAAGAGCCAGGAGACCTGTGGAGATGCAGTGGCAGAGGCCCGTGAGGCAGGAGAGGACAAAGTAAGTGATCGTAACACACATATCTGAAAAAAAAGTGAAGGTCACATGGGCACACATGGGGAGGAACCAGGGCTGTGGCCAGTTTCTGAGTTGAGCAATCTGGGGGAGCCGAAGTCTCACCTGAGGGACATGTTTGTGCCCAGTCTGAGGAGTCTCACGGCTATGCCTGAGCATGAATAAAGTGTGTGTTTTTTTTTCAGCTGTGGGCATTTTGAGTCCTGCGTGAACCCTGCTGAGTCCGAGGGGCACAATCTCCAGTGCCCTTCTTCTCCTCTTGATCCAGATGACCTCTGTAAATGCAATTCTTCAAATAGCCTTTCTGGGGTGAATATGCGGTTGTGGTAGGCTCCTCAGGTTGCAATCACAAAACAAATGTAGACGGGTGATTTGAACTCCAAACTCTTCAGTGCTCAGGTACACCTGGCTTGCTTCCTGCTGAGAGATCGCTTCCTGTCTTGCAGACTTAACGGCTGTGTTAGGTGGAGAGAGTCACTCCCGTGGGCACTAATCCCACCCTGAGAGCCCCACCCTGGTGGTCTCCTTGAAACCTCATAATCTCCACCCCCCCAAACCCAATCTCCAAACACCTGTACTTCCTGAAAGTTGGAGGAGGTTTCAAGTTTCAACCCAAGCACAAAAATTTGTATGTCTACAACTGTACCTCATGGTGTCTCACTAATAAAAAAAATAAAAATAAATTTAAAAAAAGAATTTGGAAGGAAGGGGCAAGGATAGTATAGCAGAGGGAGTGTGCTCTGCATGCAGAAACCCAGGTGAGAACCCTGGTA